GATGATATAAATCTTGCATTACCTTATAAGGGCCCCAAACTATGGGAATTATGGTATATTCCTTGTTTAAGGACCCTGCACTATGGGAACTTGGTATATTCCTTGTTTAAGGACCCTAAACTATGGGAATTACTATATATACCTTGTTATGGGTAATGCAGGGTTTTTAGCATCCACCGTCGCGGAGACACGGAGCCCGGTTCTCGAGCAGACCCCCTGTTGTTAGATACTGAAACGGCCTTAGGGTTTAGGGTTTAGGGTTAGGGTTTAGGGTTTAAGGCCTACCCTCTAAACGAGCGGCAATGGGGGCAGGCTTTATGAAGTTCCTATGTAGGGGCTACTACTTAAAGGCCTAAGTCTAAACAGTATAATACATGCCAGTTTTCCCCCCGGCCCTAAACCCTAAACCCTAAACCCTAAACCCTAAACCGCATCCCCAGGCTGCAGAGAGCCAGTGCAGAATCAGTTCTTGAGCAGAAGTTTCCACTACCGCACGCCCCAAAGGGTCAAAAATGCCATTTCGGCTCATTTACCCCTAACCCTCCAGGTACCTACTATAAAGGGCCCTAGAGGCTCTAGTACCCTATATTAGGTAACTGGGGGGCCAGGGTACGATACGAGTACTTATGGACCCCTTGGACATCCTGACCGGCATGACCACGACAACTACCAAAGCAGTGCACATGATTGAATCATTGTGGCGGGCTCGTAGAATTAAGGGGGAGTCCCTTTCGGGTGGGGTGGTGGTGGTGTTCTTATTTCCAGACTCCTACTTTGCAGGTCCTACCCCGTAGTGTCTGACAGCCCTCCACAAGCTGAACACCAAAACATCAACCCTAAACCCTAAACCCTAAACCCTAAACTGCCCTAAACCCTCAACCCTAACCATGTCCAGAACAAGATACCCAAAGCCACGGAGATAGTGCCTGACTCCGAGCCTGACGCGATTGAAGCTTTGGCTCTTCGGGGAGGATTTGACATACAGGCATGCGATGCCGTAGCATCTTCGCGCGTGGTTCGATATGGACACCTGGTCATGCATATCATAATTTAAGTAAATCTCGCCACAAAGCATTGAAGAAAGTGTATAGAAACCTATACATACAAATCTTCACATTCGTGCAGGCCTGCTGCTCCTGCAAACTTGAAGATCGAACAGCCTATCGGACTGGATGCCAAGCCCTCTTCTGCAACTGCAGTAGTCCTAAGACGTAAACCTACCTAAACCCCTCATAAACACCAAACCCTAAACCCAAACCGACCTAAACTCCGTGCGAACCCCAAACCGCCAAACCTACTTTATCCACTACAGCCCTGACGTCTGGACTATGCCTTACACCCCCAAACCGAATTCGCAAGGACAGATATCAGGAAACATGAACATTTGAAACTATAGACTGCACAAACCTGTCGGGCGGATGGGGGTGTCAACATTCTGAAACAGCTGACAACACCCCGGAGCATTAAACCAAAGGGCCCTAGATCCCTAAACTCCAATCTACCTATATAGTATATAATTAAGCCGTAAAGTAATCCTATACTTTAAGCCCTCAGTCTATACTAACTACATGGGCAGCTGGAGCCGTAGGTCAAGGTTTGGAGGTCACGGCTTGATGATTTGGCTGCGGTCTGGGGTTCGACCGGGGGAATTATGAGTCATGAGGTCTTAGGGCTTCGAGTTTCAAGCTTCGAACAGTATAAGTACACAGCGCCATAGGGGCTGAAATTCAAGAAGGAATATTAATCGACCTTGTTCCGACCTACCTACCTACCTACCTACCTGCCTGCCTACCTACCTACCTACCTACCTACCTACCTATCTACCTACCTGCATATATATATATATAATATCTGTAACATATGTACATGTGTATATATATAAAGATATGCGAATGTATGTGTGTGTCTATATATATATATATATATGTATACAGTATCTGTCAGAACCATCACTTGACATCCGTTTCTTAGGCATGTCAAAAGCCGTAGATGGCCGCTCCCGGCTTCATTCGGGATCCTAGGCTCCCGGGCTCCTGTGGCTTCAGCAGCTCTGACCCCGTTTCAAAGATTCTCTAAAGGGTCGATTCGAAGGTTTAGGGTTTTGGGCTTAGGGTTTAGGGTTTAGGGTTTAGGGTTTAGGGTTTAGGGTTAGGGTTTAGGGTTTAGGGTTTTGGGGCTTAGGGTTAGGGCGGAAACTCAGCCTCAACGAGATACGTAAATACAAAACCCAAAACCGAACGACAGCAACAAGCCGCTTCGCCTTGCAGACGACTGAACTGTAAGGCCGCGCAGTAATTGAGCCACAGCCTTAGGGTTCAGGGTTTAGGGGCTAAGGGCTTAGGGTGGTGGTCTGGTTTTCAGGGCGGAGACGTCTGTACAGTAGTTTTTTTGTGTCGGGATCTCGTGCTCATGCTCGGTTGCAAGGCTTGACACATTCTAGTGCTTGAACTTCTGATCAGGCATGCTCAGGAGCAACTTTTCAGTTGTAGCGGGCTCCCCGGTGTTTTGTCTAGGATGAACGTCGAAACTTTGGCCCCGGGGTGATGTAGGGCCTTAATAATTAGAATAGGGTTTTGGGATATATTATACTGCAATTTATGATTAGGAGCCCCCCAAAAAATAGTTTTGGTAATTACTTAGGCCCCTAAAGCACATATATAGGGACACTAAGGGAATACCTGGGCCCGCCTGCTCCTTATTCGGTTTGTGTCTATCCCAGCCCTAAACAGGTAAGCTATCTGGCGTTACGCTATACTTTGGTGTCCTAGGGCACCCTAAACCCTAAACCCTAAACCCAAAAACCTAAAACCCTAAACCCTAAAACCCTAAACCCCAAAAGGGAACCCCAGGGAATAATGGATACATACTTGAGGAAAGCTCGTATCCCACTGGGCGCCTGAGCTGAAGGCTCCCCAGCTTCGGGGGCCATAGACCACAAAACTCAAAACCCTAGCTTGAGCTACCATACTAGTTTAGTTGAGGGTTTAGGGCAGGTTCTTACCACAAAACTTGCTACAGACTGCAAGGAGAATCTTCCGATATCACACGAAAACCTAAACCCTGAACCCTAAACCCCTAAACCCTAAACCCTAAAACCCTAAACCCTAAACCCCTAAACCCTAAACCCTAAAACCCTAAAGCCTTATACCCCAAACCCTTTCTCGGCAGCCCAACTCCTGAACTTTGGTCCCCAACCCTAAACCGAAATTCGAGACCCGAAACCCCAACTCGCAGACCCCAAACCTTTGAAGCTTCAACACACTCTGGGTCTCGGGTTTTAGGGCTTAGGGTAGAGTTTAAAGTTTTGTTTTTAAGGGTTTAGGGTTGATGGTCTAGGGTTTGGGGGGGGCACTCTTTAATGTTTTAGGGTTTCGGGTTAGGATTCAGGGTTTACTGTGGGCGGGGGGGCGGGGGGGGCTTTCAATAATTTGCAGGATGGAGAGCTCAATGAAGCTTAGCTGCTTGGACTGAGCTGACACGGGTTTTATCGGCGTTGCCGGCAGCACACAAAACCCTGCCTCTTTAAGGAAAGATGTGAGGAAACGACAGCAAGGACCCCTGCAAAGGCTGGTGTCTGGGCTACAGGTACGATTGATACCGATAATACCACGGTCTTACAAACTTCTCGCTGCCAGGACGTATGACTGGACCATGAAAAGCCACTCTTTATGATATCCTAAACTAAACCCTAAACCCTAACCCTTCAAGATCACTGGTCTTCCATTGGCTATGGAAGTGTCCAGGCAGCTCTCTTCGGGTCAAAGAACTTACAAAACACAAACAAAACAAGGCATCGTGTTCAGGGTTCGGGATTTTCGCTTCAGGTGTTTAGGGTTTTTCCAAACCTGAGAGGATGACTGAACCATTCTATCCCACATACGTCGCACTTTAGACATTTCCATGAGCTGCGGCTTACTGTGCCAATCTAGGTGTGGTTCAAGGATACATTCTGCATTCCAAAAAACCGTACGCCAAACCCGGACCACCGAAAACTCTACCCACACCTGCATGACAAAAGTCTCTCTCTATTATATGTTTCTCGGTAAACTCGTGATGGCAAGTCGCAGGGACCAAGGGGAGAGTGCAACGTCAAAGTGCGGAATGGTTTCGACACCCACAGAAATCGATTTGGCCCAGATCATAGCCTTAACGCAGGTGCACTGGATGTTTGCATTTCCGGACCCTGAGCCCTATAAGCCCATAATGCCAAAACTTGCAACCTCCAACCCCCACTCTGAGTGTGGCTGCTACTACCGCAACAATCTCGAATCCTCCACAAACTCTACGCTGTAAGCAGTCCTTCCACCGTGCCTTCTCCTGGTCCGACAAAAACTACGCAAGCCTCCATGCCCCATGTAGACCCTACTCATAGGCCCCATAGTAGTTCCTTTTAGGGATTCCCTAACAGGATCCTAAATATAAGCCACACAAAGGAACTATTATGGGGCTTATGGGTAAACCCTAAACCCATAATTGGCCAAAAGCGGCTGCAAAAGTAAGACAAAATACCGTCATCCGCCTGGCTAGGAATGTGACGCGCTCAAGCATGTCCGTCCCGCGTAACACTCCCCTTCACCAGCCCACAAGCGGGAGCCTGAAAGTCAAGGTTTAGGAGGATTTAGGGTTTAAGTTTAGGGTTTACTTTATAACCACCAATAACCTACCATTTCAAGGACTTATCTAAGGAGATCATAAGAAGGAACCCTAAAAAGGTAGGTTCTTTAGGGTCCCAGGTAGGATTTAAGGTTTAGGGTCTCGGATTCTGCAGATGCGGCTCTGGCTTCGACACTCCGAAGAATCAACTTCTGCACATCAACACCTTTGGTAAGGGTTTAGGGTTTAGGGTTTAGGGTAAAGGGTAAAAGGTTCGGGGACACATCTGAAACCTGGATCCAAGTACCTCTGACCTGTGCTGCTGCATACCATGGGGGCCTGAAAATCAGAAATTCGAATGAGGTTGCGGGGTATGTTCTGATATGTAGGGACTAAGACGAGGGGAATGCCACTAAAAAGTAGTCCCACTGCTTTATGAGACGATCAAGCAAGTGCGCAGTGCTGTTCTCAACAGCCCAAGCTATCCACAAAGCTGGACGGGAAGACAGAGCAATGTAATGAGCAGATACGCATATCGGCTTTATTGAAACATAAGCATAGCTGTAACTATCACAACCTAGGGTCAGGGAAATTCGGGTGGTATAAAAGATCAAGTCGGATCGTCTCCTAAGCATAAACTCGAAAGCTTCACCCCACTTCCTGCTCCGAAAAGACAGCCTCGTAAATCATGCTGATGAAACAGACGTAGTCCATCATTTTGTGTACCACCCCTTGGCCGGGAGGACGGTTGTCTCGCGGTGTCTCTCAACCCCTTCTAGGCTCGAAGCACCTCTATGCCACGTACCGATATGGGAAACCCGCTCAGGCCCAAAGCATATCCTATGTAGCCCTTCGTGCTATCCAACATACCTACTGTCCGAAACCCAAGTACCTAATCCCTGCAGCCCCAACCTAATCCAATGAAGCTCTGCCGGCTTAGGGTGTAGGACTTAGCTGTCGAGCTTGACATTGAACATTAGTGACAGTCGTGTTTAGTACTCGAACGTCAGACTACTTCTTGTGCTGGTTCGGTTTGTAGTGCATCTTTTGACTTGCGTTCTATTTATCATTGGGTTTAGGGTTTAGGGTTTACCTGGACCCCAAAAGCATGTGGAATAATAGGTTTTGGGCCATTATTTTACCTACTTTTGGGGGTTCAGGTAGGGGTTTAGGGTTTAGGGTTTGGGGTTTTAGGGTTTACCTGTAGTCTCCATTGTAGTACCTTTTTGGTGATACCTTATAAAATCCTTAAAATAAAGTTGGTTAAACCAAAAAAGGAGCTACAATGGAGACTGTAGGGAGGGCCTAGGGTCGACCTGAAAGAGCGTATGTAACTCGTAGCAGCAATGCCTCTCCGGATGCAGGCTTCAGGGTCGTAATCTAGGCCCCAGAGGGTCCGAGTACCCAAATAGCAAGGTTTTAGGCCCCAAAATCCATATTCTGATTGGTTTTTGGACCGTGAAACCCTACTATTTGAGTACTTGGACCCTTAGGGGGCATCTATTGCCAGAACTGTTGTTTGTCGTTGATTCTGGTGACGTCTCGGGCTTTTAGGGTTTAGGGTTTAGGGTGTCGTCTTTATTCCGATTTAGGGTTCAGGGTGTCGTCCTTATTCCGATTAGCATCACTACTATCGGTCTCTGTTTCCGTTCTCACCGCACCCTAAATGAACCCGTAACCCTCACGGCCCGAACACAAATCGGCACCCAAAGCCATCTGAAGCCAGGCGGCTGCGCTCATTAGCTCTCAGAAAGTCTTGGACCTTCCCTTGGTGGTGAAAAAGATAGGAGTGAGGGTTAAGGGTTTAGGGTTTAGGGTTTAGGAATTAGGAGTAGGGGGACCTTTGGGGATATAGACCCTCTCAATAAGCTCGCTTTTTAAGAGAGCCAGAAGTGGGCTTGAGAAGGGTGCCCCCTCGTACTACCTAGGTAAAGAAGGTTCAGGGTTTACGGCTTAAGGATGTCTAGGAGTTCAGGGTTTCGGGATGAGGGCTTGTGGACGTTTAGGGCTTGAGGGGGGATGATTAGGGCTTTAAGGTTACGCTTGTAATTTCACCAACCCTAAACCCCTAAACCTTAAATCCCTAAACCCTAAACCCTAGACCCAAAACCCTAAATCCCTAAATCCTAAACCCAAGACC